GGCTTGTTGGGCTATTTTATACAGCCTTGAACTCTATGCTTTTAATGACATCTTGAATTGTAAAAGCTTCCTGGATGGGAAACAAAATGTCTTCGAACTTGGAAACAATGTCCAGTAGATGGTTTTTAACCATTTTTTGATTGGCAACCAGATCTACTGGAGAAGGCAATTGGATTCTTCTGTCTTGTCAATGAGGAAATCAATGTCAGGAATACACTTTGGCTTGCTGCACATGGATCACAGTATTCTATTTTAACTATCTAGTGTGTCATGTCTTTTGTCTGCGAAATATGTTCTTGTGATATGGGGATGTCCATTTTTGTGACTCTGTGGCGCAATGGTAGCGCGTCTGACTCCAGATCAGAAGGCTGCGTGTTCAAATCACGTCAGAGTCATTGTTCATGGCTTGTTTGAAGGAATACTTTTGAAGGCTGTGGCTTCATCAATTTGCAACTCACACATATGGCAAAAAGACCTTGCCTATTCATGCAGAATCACAATTCCCTTTAATGACACCCCTTTCAGAGACATGTGAAACTACCACATGGCAAAGACACCTTGCATATTGAGCCAGGCCAACTATTCCTTTAATGACCCCTCCCCCTTTCAGAGACGTAGACATGTATGGGGCTTTGCAGGTTAACAAAAGAACCAAAATGACCCCTTTTCCAAGGGGTGGACAGGTTTGTCTGATTCAGTTTCCATGTTTTCTATAACAAAACAAGGGCTTGTTGGGCTATTGTATATAGCCTTGAACTCTATGCCTATCATGACATCTTGAATCGTAAAAGCTTCCTGGATGGGAAACAAAATGTCTTTGAACTTGGAAACAATGTCCAGTAGATGGTTTTTAACTTTTTTTGATTGGCAACCAGATCTACTGGAGAAGGCAATTGGATTCTTCTGTCTTGTAAATGAGGAAATCAATGTCAGGAATACACTTTGGCTTGCTGCACATGGATCACGCTATTCTATTTCAACTATCTAGTGTGTCATATCTTACGTCTGCGAAATATGTTCTTGTGATATGGGGATGTCCATTTTTGTGACTCTGTGGCGCAATGGTAGCGTGTCTGACTCCATATTAGAAGGCTGCGTGTTCAAATCACGTCAGAGTCATTGTTCATGGCTTGTTTGAAGGAATTATTTTGAACTATTTGGCCAGAAGGTTGTGGCTTCATCAATGTTCAACTCACACCTGGCAAAAAGACCTTGCCTATTCATGCAGAATCACAATTCCCTTTAATGACACCCCTTTCAGAGACATGAGAAACTACCACATGGCAAAAACACATTGCATATTCTGCCAGGCCAACAATTCCCTTTAATGACCCCCCCCCCCCCCTTTCAGAGACATAGACATGTATTGGGCATTGCAGGTTAACAAAAGAAGCAAAATGACCCCTTTTCCAAGGTGTGGACAGGTTCGTCTGATTCAGTTTCCATGTTTTCTAAAACAAAACAAGGGCTTGTTCGGCTATTGTATACAGCCTTGAACTCTATGCTATTAATGACATCTTGAATTGTAAAAGCTTCCTGGATGGGAAACAAAATGTCTTTGAACTTGGAAACAATGTCCAGTAGATGGTTTTTAACTTTTTTTGATTGGCAACCAAATCTACTGGAGAAGGCAATGGATTCTTCTATCTTGTAAATGAGGAAATCAATGTAAGGAATACCTTTTGGCTTGGTACACATGGATCACGGTATTCTATTTCAACTATCTACTGTGTCATATCTTTTGTCTGAGAAATATGTTCTTGTGATATGAGGATTTCCATTTTTGAGACTCTGTGGCACAATGGTAGCGCATCTGACTCCAGATCAGAAGGCTGCGTGTTCAAATCACGTCAGAGTCATTGTTCATGGCTTGTTTGAAGGAATACTTTTGAAGGCTGTGGCTTCATCAATTTGCAACTCACACATATGGCAAAAAGACCTTGCCTATTCATGGAGATACCCCAATTCCCTTTAATGACACCTCTTTCAGTGACATGTGAAACTACCACATGGCAAAAACACCTTGTTTATTGAGCCAGGCCAACTATTCCCTTTAATGACCCCTCCCCCTTTCAGAGACATAGACATGTATGGGGCTTTGCAGGTTAACAAAAGAAGCAAAATGACCCCTTTTCCAAGGGGTGTACAGGTTTGTGTGATTCAGTTTCCATGTTTTCTAAAACAAAACATGGGTTTGTTGGGCTATTGTATACAGCCTTGAACTCTATGCTATTTTCAAACATCTTGATTGTAAAAGCTTCCTGGATGGGAAACAAAATGTCTTCGAACTTGGAAACAATGTCCAGTAGATGGCTTTTTACTTTTTTGATTTGCAACCAGATCTACTGGAGAAGGCAATTGGATTCTTCTGTCTTGTAAATGAGGAAATCAATGTCAGGAATCCACTTTGGCTTGCTGCACATGGATCACGGTATTCTATTTCAACTATCTAGTGTGTCATATCTTTTGTCTGCGAAATATGTTCTTGTGATATGGGGATGTCCATTTTTGTGACTCTGTGGCGCAATGGTAGTGCGTCTGACTCCAGATCAGAAGGCTGCATGTTCAAATCACGTCAGAGTCATTGTTCATGGCTTGTTTGAAGGAATACTTTTGAAATATTTGGCCTGAAGGCTGTGGCTTCATCAATGTTCAACTCACACATGGCAAAAAGACCTTGCCTCTTCATGCAGAATCACAATCACCTGTTCCAGAAGAAGGCAGTTGGATTCTTCTGTCTTGTAAATGAGGAAATCAATATCAGGAATATACTTTTATTTGCTAGACATGGATCTTTTGTCTGCGGAATATGTTCTTGTGATATCGGGATCTAGTTTTTCAGGACTCTGTGGCGCAATGGTAGCGCTTCTGACTCCAGATCAGAAGGCTGTGTGTTCAAATCACGTCAGAGTCATTGTTCATGGCTTTTTTGAAGGAATCCTTTTGAACTATTTGGCATTAAAGCTGTGCAAAAAGACCTATGCTCTGTTCGAAAACCTAGGATGCATCCTTAGAAGACCGGATTCGAAGGCCGATTACGTCATAGCACGGCGCCGAGATCTGGTCGGATTCCAAGAGTCCTAGTTATGCGGCCTTAAAATGCTGCCTTCTTTTTGCCTGATTTGAAGGACGGGTCCGATGTACCCTCGGTATTCTTGGATATCCTAGGATTCATTGTGAGACCAAGCAAGCCGTGATCAGAGGAAAGGTTACTTGGCGCCGAACAGTGGTGAAAATTGGAAGTTCAGTTTAATATAATACAAGTCATTTAATAGTTCCGTCTGAGATTAATGAAAAATAGTTGTTTTAATGGTTATTGAGTCAGATATGTGGCAGTAAAGTTTGATTTATCTAAAGGTTTTAATCTGTTACTGATTAAATGGGTTTGGCTGTAATTTAAGGACAGATTCTAATATATCTGCAGGGTGGGGACTATAAATCTGATAGGATTTTTATCTTTTTATTGCTGTTTTGCACAATATGCTTGACTACGTATTTATTGTTGTTGAATATTAGAGATTTTGCAGATATATTTTTTATAAATACATTGTTTAGATTTACTTTCTTTCTACCCCTTTTATAGAATAGAATAGAAAATCCCTTTATTGTCCCACAATGGGCAAATTTACAGCAGCAGAAACATTACTGAAAATGGTCACACAAATGTGGACCTTAGAAAAATGTATAGGAATAACATAATAGGGAAGAGTTAAGATATAAACAATAAAATACTGTAAAGTGTTTTAACAATATTAAACTGGGTAATAAATAACCAATATGCAGCTATGGACATTTTTACAGTAATGGATATTTGAAAATAGGAGCAACATCAGAGATGTGCAGAATGACAGCAGCATGTTATTTAACTGACTAAGGTTTCTATCATTACATTTGATTTTATTTGTTCCTGCTCCCGGTTGGAACATTTATTCCATTCTGGATTCTTGTGAGTCTTTGTTCACTTTACAATAGAAAAGAAATAAATAAACAGTTTTGAAAACTTCTGTATACATTATTTTCCTGCTTTGTGTGTCAACGTTCGCGGTTGCTAAGCAACAGAGCATACGGCGGTAAAACCCGCCGAAGGGTAGACCTGGTCGAATTCACAGCCAAAACTCTTCCAGTCTCCTTATTTTCAAGAACTTCGAAGGATCCAGTCTAGGTAGACCGCGTCCTTGGAGGACACGTCCTAGGTTTTCGAAGGGCTCTGTTCGAATTCATGGGCTGTGTCCTTAGAAGGCCAGATTCGAAGGATGATTACGTCATAGAGCAGCGCCGAGGTCTGGTTGAATTCCAACACTCCTTGTCATTCAGCCTTAAAGCACAGCAGATTTCAATTGATAGCTGATTAACAGACTTTAGCTGAGCTTTAATCATCAGAATCAGTTGTGCTTTATTCTGCTTGAAGAGAATTTGATCTGGAACAGTAAACTAGAAAAAAATGTAATTCGAAACCCATGCAGAAATTTCCAAAAATAAAACTGAAAAATATAAAAAGAAAAAAAAAAACAATAAAATATACTAAAATAATAATTTACTGAAATGTAATCTGAAAAAACAGCAACGTCTTTCTCAAATTCTCTTTTTAATCAAGAAGTGGAAAAATGGTATCTAGACAACTGATGTTTTTCTTCAATTAAGTTTATTTGTTCTCAAATTGAGGAGATAAAAGAGACATTTTGCCAATGGAACAAGACAATTTAGATTTAAACTAAGAAAACACAACTGTATTGTCTTATTTCAAGTGCATATTATTGAATTATCTCATTTCAAGTGTAAAAATCATCATTCCATTGGTAAACTATCTGATTTATCTATTCAAATCGAGGGTAAGTACCAGGGACATGCAGAGAGGGGGGCGGAGGGTGCTTGAGCACCTGCCCCTTTGTCCCTGAATCTCAAAGTGCCCTTTTGTAGGGTTTATTATTATTATTATTATTTATTTATTTATTTAATTTTTTTTTGCGTGTGTGTGCGTGTGTATTTGTGTGTTGTGCATGTCCAAAACAATTATAATTTAGATCTACTGTTCCATGGTAACCGTGGCCGGTCACATGATATACTGGATCATGTGACCGGCCGCGTCAGCTTCACACAACGTGCCCTCAAGCTAACCTTACTACCGTGACGTGCCCTGCTGCTGCGGATAACCACTGCGACTCCCGATTCCAGAAAAAGTAAACAACTGGTCAGGTAAGTAGGTGCTGCAGTGGTGTTAGTTTGTGCAAGGTTTATTGTTCCAAGATGAGTAGACTGACCGAGTAAAGTAAGCAATGAGCATCCTCTGTGCTGTGCAAATTTGCACACACCTCTCACAAGTTATAGCCCTAGCCAGCGGCGCAAAAAGTGGGTATGCGCTATAGGGCACTGGTACTGTAGGAGGCGCAGAAACGATCATGGTAAAATGATTTTCTGTATTTAACTTCTTATTATGTCACCGATTAGTTCCTGCCAGTCATTTTTAAATACTTTGATAATACTTTCATTGCCCCAGAATGTAGGTAGGTAGTTGCATCCCTGCCGCTAGCTAATTGACCACCACACACGCACAGCGTGCTATGGGGAGGAAGTACGTCAGGTTTCTGTTGTTGTTACTGCCTGTTTCACCTGCTATGTGAAAGTGCAGAGAGATACACTATATTGCCAAAAGTATTTGCTCACCTGCCTTGACTCACATATGAGCTTAAGTGACATCCCGTTCCTAATCCATAGGGTTCAATATGACGTCGGTCCACCCTTTGCAGCTAGAACAGCTTCAACTCTTCTGGGAAGGCTGTCCACAAGGTTTAGGAGTGTGTTTATGGGAATTTTTGACCATTCTTCCAGAAGCGCATTTGTGAGGTCGCACACTGATGTTGGACGAGAAGGCCTGGCTCTCAGTCTCCGCTCTAATTCATCCCAAAGGTGTTCTATCGGGTTGAGGTCAGGACTCTGTGCAGGCCAGTCAAGTTCATCCACACCAGACTCTGTCATCCATGTCTTTATGGACCTTGCTTTGTGCACTGGTGCACAGTCATGTTGGAAGAGGAAGGGGCCAGCTCCAAACTGTTCCCACAAAGTTGGGAGCATGGAATTGTCCAAAATGTCTTGGTATGCTGAAGCATTCAGAGTTCCTTTCACTGGAACTAAGGGGCCAAGCCCAGCTCCTGAAAAACAACCCCACACCATAATCCCCCCTCCACCAAACTTTACACTTGGCACAATGCAGTCAGACAAGTACCGTTCTCCTGGCAACCGCCAAACCCAGACCCGTCCATCAGATTGCCAGATGGAGAAGCGCGATTCGTCACTCCAGAGAACGTGTCTCCACTGCTCTAGAGTCCAGTGGCGGCGTGCTTTACACCACCGCATCCGACGCTTTGCATTGCACTTGGTGATGTATGGCTTGGATGCAGCTGCTCGCCCATGGAAACCCATTCCATGAAGCTCTCTGCGCACTGTTCTTGAGCTAATCTGAAGGCCACATGAAGTTTGGAGGTCTGTAGTGATTGACTCTGCAGAAAGTTGGCGACCTCTTCGCACTATGCGCGTCAGCATCCGCTGACCCCGCTCCGTCAGTTTACGTGGCCTACCACTTCGTGGCTGAGTTGCTGTCGTTCCCAAACACTTCCATTTTCTTATAATACAGCTGGCAGTTGACTGTGGAATATTTAGGAGCGAGGAAATTTCACGACTGGATTTGTTGCACAGGTGGCATCCTATCACAGTTCCACGCTGGAATTCACTGAGCTCCTGAGAGCGACCCATTCTTTCACAAATGTTTGTAAAAACAGTCTGCATGCCTAGGTGCTTGAATTTATACACCTGTGGCCATGGAAGTGATTGGAACACCTGATTCCAATAATTTGGATGGGTGAGCAAATACTTTTGGCAATATAGTGTATGTATCTTACTCTCAAGCAGGTGTGTTTTTTTCCTGTCTTATTTCACTAAAACTGTGCAGTATGCATATTCACATCATTTTGGACCATTGCACAACAAAAATAATTTGAGTTTTGAATTTCTAAACCTCTCCTTTATTTACACAAAAAAATTAAATATGCCCATATAGGCTAATATGCATACAGACAAATTGTATAACTTTTGGACCCTTGCTGTCATGCGCAAACTTAATAGTCAAACTAAATAAAAGCAAAAAAACATTTTAAAAAGTTATTTCTATATCATTTAATAAATTTTTATTTTATAGCATTAGGAATAATAAAGGGCAAAATATTAATGGGTTAAACTTGTGGCTATGCAGTACATTTTTTTTTTAAAAAGGTATGCAATGTCAATTTTTGTTTGTATGTGTGTTTTATGTGGATCAGATTGTAGTTTGAGTATCTTATTTCATTTTGCAGAGATGCCTCGTAAGGAGAGGAGGTTAAAACAAAAACAAAAGGAGCTGTGTGAGGCTGCAAAAGGCAGTGGATCACTCACCAGCTGGATGACAAAGAGCACAAAAGGTAAGATCAACACATGCACCAGTTATTTATAGCCATATTCAGTTAGAGAAAACAACAGTAACAAACAAAATTTCAATGTTGTTCTGTTACATTATAATATGTATAGTGTGTTAATTATTGATTGATTGATAAATTTATCGATTAATGATTAGGTGTATGGTGTTAATTAGATTAATCCAAGAGCAAATTCTGCCTGATTTCCAGATGGACAGGGAGTGAGTCATCATAGGTCAGATGAGGAGATGGAAGGAGAGAAAGAGGAGGAGATGGAAGGAGAGAAAGAGCAGATGGAAGGAAAGAAAGAGCAGGAGATGAAAGGAGAGAAAGAGGAGGAGATGGAAGGAAAGACAGGGGAAGACACTGTGCCTCAGAGAAATGAGAGTTTGCTAGGAACAGAAAGTCAGGAGGAGCCAGAGACTGGAGGAATGGTCTCAGGGGTTAAGGAGCCCACACAGGATGTTAAAGTAGAGGAAGCAGCAAACCAGGAGACAGAGGTTGGGGTGAGAGAGGGAAAGCTTGATTTACAGATTACACAAAATGTGGAGGTAGAAGGAGCATCAAACCAGGAGGAGATTGAAACCAGAGATAGGCAAACATTCTCACACCTACTTGAACTTACTCACCCAAATGATCGTGCCCATGTCCTACAATTAAATATTAAATGTGATGAGGCCTTCATTCAGTTTTGCAACAGTATTGGACCGTGTCAACCAGCGCTTTCATCCTTTCCAAAAAATGAAGAGGGGCGATCATTTCAAAAGAAATGGTATGAGAACAACACATGGCTGGAGTACTCACCAAGTCTTGATGCCATGTTCTGTTTCAGCTGCCGTCTTTTTTTGTGTGAGGATAAATACAAAGGGCGCAAAACATGGAAATCAGAAGGATTTAATCGGTGGAGAAAGGCTCTAGAGAGAATTAAAGAACACTGTGCCTCAGAATCACACATGTGTGGTATGGTGAGGTGGAACAACTTAAAAAAGAAATCACTGGAGGCAGCTTTTGAAATGGGTGACCGCGCATTACAAGCTGCTCAAGACAGGGAAAGAGAAAAAAATAGAGAAATCTTGTCCCGATTACTGGCAACCACTCTTTACCTGGCAAGACAGGGTATGCCTTTTAGAGGAGACGATGAGACCCTGTCCAGCCAAAATCGAGGTAATTTCCTAGAGTTGGTGGAGCTGTTTAGCAGGTATGATAGTGTAATTAAATTATACCTGGAAGCAATAAAAGAGAAGCAGGGAACTGGTAGAAGACCTCTTGTCTCACTTCTCTCCAACAGAAGTCAGAATGATATGATCAAAGCTTTGGCCATATCAGTCAAACAAGTAATCAAAAAAGAAATCCAAGAGAGCAAAACCTTTTCAATTCTCATGGATGAAACCACGGATGCTGCACGCACTGAACAAGTTTCTTTTGTGATTAGGTATGTGCATAACATGCAAATCAAGGAGCGCTTTCTTCAGGTGTGTAACATTCATACCACAAGTGGAGATGCTCTTGAAAAGATAGTTATAGCTCTACTTGAAGAAAATGGCCTGAAGTTGGAAAACATCCGGGGTCAAGGCTATGATGGGGCTGCAAATATGAGCGGATGCTTTAAGGGACTTCAGGCAAGAATTCTAAAAAGAAATCCAAAGGCCTTGTATGTACACTGTCAGGCTCACTGTCTTAATTTGGTGTTAGTTGAAAGTGCAGTCTACCATCTGTTTTGTCAGCTTTTTCAACTTAGTTGAAAAACTTTATAGTTTTGTGGCCAACTCATCCAAACGACACTCTGCATTTATTAAAATGCAGAAGACTATGTACCCTGATCGGCGTCCACTGGAGCTGCAGAAGCTCTCAGACACACGGTGGGCCTGCAGAGAAACTGCCCTTCAGACTCTGAGGAAGGTCCTCCCAGCTGTCATGCAGTTTCTTGAGGAAATGACACAGCAAGACCCACCAGACTCTTCGGCAGGTGATGCATTGATTCTTCTCAGGAGCATCAACTTTGAATTTTTCCTGTGTCTGGAGATCACCTGCCCAATCTTCCAGGTGACTGCGATGGCCTCTGATGCTTTGCAGCAGAAAGACATAGAGCTAGCGACAGCATACAAAGTTGTAGATGGAGTTTTTCAGAGGCTGGCCTACAGCAGAACAGAGGAGGAGTTTGAGAAGATGTTTAAACAGGCTACAGAGAAGGCTGCATCAGTGGGCCTTGACCCCCCAACTGAGATTCCTGGTCAAGCTCGGAGGAGGAAAATGCCAGCAAAGTTCAAGGTCACTGCCACAACAGCAACTGCTGACCACACATTCCCTACTTTGCAGGACTACTATCGTGTTAAGGTGTATTACGTTTTTGTGGACACAATGACACAAGAGCTTCAGAGACGCTTTAAAGCTGAAGATAACTCCACATGGGAAATCCTGAATGCCCTCCACTGCCTGATAGTCCCAGAGAACTGGAAAACAGCCCAAATTCCAACAGAGGCACTGCAAGCTGTGAATAGGCTCTGCAAGTTCTACAACATTGATGAAGAAGACAAATTGCAGACAGAACTAAAGGTCTTACATAGTTCATACTCATGCCCCTCATCCATCAGTGTGACATCTATTCTTTCAGTGGTCAAAGAAAACAATGCACATCTGGTTTTCCCCAACTTGACTGAGCTGCTGAAGACATACGGCACTCTTCCAGTTTCTACAGCTACTGTTGAACGCTCTTTCTCAAAACTCAAACTGGTGAAAACAAAACTTCGCACCCTTTGCACAGAAGAAAGGTTGTCAGAGCTTCTTTTACTGGCAATTGAAAAGGATATTCCAGTCAACCTCAGTGAAGTCATTGACATTTTTAAGAGCATGGGCAACAGAAGGTTGCTGTTATAACTGCAAAAAATAAAAATGCCACTGTGATGTGTAAAAAAAAAAAAAAACTAAGGCACAGACCCTGACAGAAACTGACAGAAAGACAGAGCCACCTTCTCTCTATTGTCTTTCTCCCACAAATAATGTTACCCTTTCAGTTACAGTTACTTATACAATGTGAATATATGTTTGTTAATAAATACAGGTTGAAACCTTTAAACCTGAAGTATTGTTTGTGTTTGTGGCTTTGAATGAGCAACTGGTTTTTAAGCAGTCAGTCAGAGTGAGCCATTTTAAATGTTAGTTATCTTTGCATCTTGCATGAACACACACCACTTGTTTAATCAGCTGCTATCTCTCCCATGTTCTTTTTAGTGTCTGTACTATCAGATTAATACACCCCAACTCCAGCAACACAGAAGCACCAACCCCCTCAACAGAAGCTGTTCCATGAGGTAAAACACAGACTAATTTCGCTTTGCACTGACCTCAAACAAATATGTGAGTATGTGTGATAGGGTGTATTTTGATTCTACGTTCCATTATTTACAGTATGGGTTGGTACATTTCAACCAGTTGTACAGCAAGGTATGTTTCTGTATAATGTTTTAAATCCGTGCCCCATGTGCCCTCTTTTAACTTTGAGCACCCGCCCCTCCAACGGTCTCTGCACGTCCCTGGTAAGGACACTTAATTTAAGACATCTTTACTTATTTCTAAATTTTTTTTCCATTCTGGATTTCAGTTTTATTTTCAAGCATCCAGGAGCCTGGCTTGTTTATTTCGTCATTAAGAGATTTAACTTTGCAGTTTTCTTCAAAGTGGATCACTGCATGAAAAGTGGGATTTTCGTCAATATGCGGCACTGTAGATTGTCGTGGAACTTCAGGTTAGCGGCAGTTTACGGCAATTTGCAGGCTTTGCCGAAAACTCCCGTAAATTGTCAGAAATTGACGTGGACTTTGTTAGGCAGTGTTCCCCCCATGCCTCCCCCCCATGGAATTCTAGGGGAGGCTTTAACATGTAAATGAACATGCTGTGAGCTATACAAATGCAAATTAGGGTTGCAGGGGGGGTTTTACTCCAAGTGACATTTTTCTAAAAGGTAAGAAAATCTCTGATACAAAGAGATCAGGCTCAGTATAGCCTCTTACATTTTAGCTTGAATTGATTTATTTAATTAAAGTATAGAGACCAAAACAGATCTTTAGCTGACAGAGCAATACATTTAGAGCAGTAATTATAAAAAAAAAAAAAAAATTGCATTTAAGATAAAAAATAAAATGTTGTCTGTCAATATGCTCAATTCACAATTACTTAAGTGGAAAAGTTTCAAGAAATGAGTCTGAGATGATTCACTTTATAACATGGCGCATTATCCTGTTGGAAGTAGCCATCAGAAGATTGGTACACTATGGTCATAAGGTCCGGCCAGGTCAAGATCCGCAATTGCAATCGCACCAAAAAGGAAAAAGAACATCGACAAATTCCGGTTCGTCAAATTAAAATATAGCAGCAACAGATCGGTGACTAGAAATTATAGCACAATTCTTATATTTAAAAAAAAAAAACTAACACTGTTTATTTAAATGATTGGATCCAAACTATTGGTTATTCACCAACGAGGAAGCAGATTTCTCATCTCCATCAAAATATTTATTTTATACCGAGGGACTTAAACTTTAATCAAATCCATTCAAAAGAAACTTCTTTTGAATGGATCAGCAATTGCTGATCTTGACCTGGCCGGACCTTATGACCACAGTGTACCAATCTTCTGATGGCTACTTCCAACAGGATAATGCGCCATGTTATAAAGTGAATCATCTCAGACTCATTTCTTGAAACTTTTCCACTTAAGTAATTGTGAATTGAGCATATTGACAGACAACATTTTATTTTTTATCTTAAATGCAATTTTTTTTTTTTTTATAATTACTGCTCTAAATGTATTGCTCTGTCAGCTAAAGATCTGTTTTGGTCTCTATACTTTAATTAAATAAATCAATTCAAGCTAAAATGTAAGAGGCTATACTGAGCCTGATCTCTTTGTATCAGAGATTTTCTTACCTTTTAGAAAAATGTCACTTGGAGTAAACCCCCCCTGCAACCCTGGTTTGCATTTGTATAGCTCACAGCATGTTCATTTACATGTTAAAGCCTCCCCTAGAATTCCATGGGGGGGAGGCATGGGGGGAACACTGCCTAAGAAAGTCCACGTCAATTTCTGACAATTTACGGGAGTTTTCGGCGAAGCCTGCAAATTGTCGTAAACTGCCGCTAACCTGAAGTTCCACGACAATCTACAGTGCCGCATATTGACGAAAATCCCACTTTTCATGCAGTGATAGGCTTCGAGAGCGGAGCTCCTCAAGGAAAAAAGACGCTCATACACTGGGTGACGCTAGTGCCTTTTCTTTAAGCCCCACCACCAACAAACAAGTTGAGTGTCTGGTGCCTAGTAGCAACCTGAAATACGCTGAGAAAATGGAATCTGCTACGGCACTCTTGCTGTCTGTGTACGCCACAGGTCGGTATCGCACGTGTGTGTGTGGGTGGGTGGGTGGGTGGGTGTGTGTGTGTTCTCATTTTTGTTAAGAGGCTGAAAAGTAACTTTCTAGAGCATAGACTACCTCCATCTAGTGATGTCGGTCTATTGATTTTGATGTATTGATTGAAAATTGTTCATTATTATCTTGGTTAATTAACATCTAATGTTAACTCTACTACATTTTATAGCAGTAGGGTAAAATGCTTGTCTTTGTTCAAAAGACTGTATTAACTGTAAAGACTGTCTTTTACATCAGCCTGTTTTCAGGGCCTTTTTTTTTGGCTACATATTTGTTATTTTTTTGCTACATGCCTCCCCATCTTCTTGCCATATGTTTCTATGGCATAAATCAGTGTCTGTGACCTGTTTTCATTTAAAAAAAAGAACATTGGCACAAACCTAGCCTGTATGTATTTTTGTATGTCATCGAGAGTATTTAAATGATTTCAATCAGAAAAAAAATGTGTGATTAAAATGCGATTAGTCGCGAGTTAACTTAGGCATTGATGCGATTAATCGCGATTAAAAAAATTTAATCGATTGACAGCACTAATTTTGTTTTATAATTTTTATATTGTTCTTTTATTATTTTTAGGAGAAAAAAAAACTTAAACATTGCTTATCTGCTGTAGGTACCAGATCTGCTCGGGGTCCTGCTTCATGCTAATGATGTTACGCGACATGACTGGCTGAAGGTTGCCAAATGATGTAGAAGATTGTGGTTACCTAGACAATAATGACATCACGCAGCATCAATGTGCAGAGTCGGGAGCATCTTTGATGTTGGCGTGTCTAAAGACTGATGATGTTTTACCTGATCGATAAAAAAAACTGAAATAATCTGTTTATGGTGAATAAAATAACTTTTAGACCGTGATATAAAGGGGGAGAGCTGGGTAGCGATGTAGCCAACTATGCTCAGTAGCTAACAGGTTAGCCTCTTTTAGCTCATTTAGTTAGCCATATAAAGCTACTTTTGAATTCATGTTAACAACAACCGTTTGTTTTCTACAAGCAGAATAACTGTTTTGTCTAAAATCTCAATGAAAGCCATTTTTTAAGATGTCCCATGTGTCCTTCCCTGCCCTTATGCTGCGTTCACACCAAACGCAGCAGGAGCAGCAAAAAGGCGTGTGCTGCTTCATCTTTGATGCTTGTACCAGTTAATTCTGATGCGCAGCAGGAGCTTTCTATATATATATATATATATATATATATATATATATATATATATATATATATATATATATATATATATATATATATATATATATATATATATATATATATTATTTATATATATATATATATATATATATATATATATATTATTTATATATATATATATAATTTATATATATATTTATTATTTATATATATATATATATATATATATATATATATATATATATATATATATTTATTATTTATATATATATATATATATAATTTATATATATATATATTTATTATTTATATATATATATATATATATATATATATATATATAATTTATATATATATATTTATTATTTATATATATATATATATATATATATATATATATATATCAATCGATACAATTTTTTTAATCGCGATTAATCGCATCAATGCCTGAGTTAACTCGCGATTAATCGCATTTTAATCGCACATTTTTTTCCTGATTGAAAATCATTTAAATACTCTCGATGACATACAAAAAAATACATACAGGCTAGGTTTGTGCCAATGTTCTTTTTTTAAAATGAAAACAGGTCACAGATACTGATTTATGCCAAAAATAACAAATATGTAGCCAAAAAAAAGGCCCTGAAAACAGGCTGATGTAAAAGACAGTCTTTACAGTTAATACAGTATTTTGAACAAAGACAAGCATTTTACCCTACTGCTATAAAATGTAGTAGAGTTAACATTAGATGTTAATTAACCAAGGTAATAATGAACAATTTTCAATCAATACATCAAAATCAATAGACCGACATCACTAGATGGAGGTAGTCTATGCTCTAGAAAGTTACTTTTCAGCCTCTTAACAAAAATGAGAACACACACACACCCACCCACCCACCCACACACACACACACACACACCCACCCACCCACACACACACACCCACCCACCCACCCACACACACACACACGATACCGACCTGTGGCGTACACAGACAGCAAGAGTGCCGTAGCAGATTCCATTTCACCTCAGTAATCTGTTTTCTCAGCGTATTTCAGGTTGCTACTAGTTACCAGACACTCAACTTGTTTGTTGGTGGTGGGGCTTAAAGAAAAGGCACTAGCGCTACCCAGTGTATGAGCGTCTTTTTTCCTTGAGGAGCTCCGCTCTCGAAGCCTATGAGAAATGCATACACTGGGGGAAAATAGCCCCGCCTTCCCGCAGGCTGCAGCGGGATGTACTTGGAAAATTGTACCATAAAACCACAAAGCGTTAATCTCACGTTAAAAAAATTATCGCC